GAATAGTATGGAATAGCATGGGGACAGGACCCATGGGCAGTCAGAGCTTCTGCTGCCGCCGCTTCTGCTGCCCCCACTGGCATGGGGACAGGACCCATGGGCAGGCAGAGCTGGTGCGTGGGGACAGGACCCACGGGCAGTCAGAGCTCCTGCTGCTGCCCCGAGTTGAGGGTTAGGGCTAAATTTAAGGCATAGGTATATGATTCATCTCTTTACAAGACAAAGGAAAGAACATGAAAAAAAGTTAAAATGGTATCAGTGCAGGTGGGGTCTGGTCATTGGGTGATCCCATGACTTTTAGACAAGAATCAAATCGGATTAAGTAAAGGTCAGAAGCCACCACCCTAAATCAGTTACAGGAGATTGCCAGACAGCAACCAACGTAAGTTCTTGCCTCTGGCATTGATTAAGAGCTTCCAGAGATAAGACCATCCCCCCTTCTTCCTGGCACAGAGAGGGAGGCATCTTCACAGATAGAGGTTTCCCTTAGAAATGTAAATGTTTCCCAACAAAGGGGCAAACAAATTCCACTCCTTGGAGCCTGAATCTCATCTGTAGTTTTAAAACTAACCAGCCTAAAAATCCTCATCATAAGCCATTTTAAAATTAAGCAGCCTAAAAATCCTCGTCATAAACCATTTTAAAATTAAGCAGCCTAAAAATCCTCATCAACATATATTGAGGCTCAGGCTCTGCTATTTTTCTATTAAAAAACTGTATTTAAAAAAAAAGTGGGTAGTTTTGACTCACTATGTTGACCAGCAAGAAATTCATCCTTTTTGCTGCTTCGAGCTTTTGCTTTATTTGCTCTTACCAGGCACTCTAAACTGCTTCTGGGAGTTGTTGACTCAAATACCAGAGCAATAAAAGCAAGAACCAGGAAGGGCTCCTTTATAACAAGAAACAACAACTCAAAACCGCTCCTTCCGGCTGGCCTCAGTCAGGTCTTCCGCAATTGGCTGGGGCTGCAGCGCGGAGCCACTGCTCGCCAGCTCAGAAATCTGGGAGAGTATTTTAACTGTCGTTCCAAATTGAATTTTTTTCTTTTGTTATGTTAAGGAGACGCAATCACCAACCACCCTGAACCAGACCAAGCCTCACCACAAGAGCAAAGCCTATAAACTTTGCCTTATTTTTTGATGCGGGGTCGGTGAGCCGAGGAGTCGAAAGAAAGATTTCTTAGACTCTTAAGATCTGGCAGTAGTGCTCTTTTATTTAGAGAATAGAATAGCATGGGGACAGGACCCATGGGCAGTCAGAGCTTCTGCTGCACCAAGTTGAGGGTTAGAGCTAAATTTAAGGCATAGGTATGAGAGTTATCTCTTTATGAGACACACACACACACAAAAAGGAGTTAAAATGGTACCAGTGCCGGTAGGATCCAGCCATTGGGCGGTCCAACAACTTTTAGAGAAGAATCAAACCGGATTGAGTAAATGGCAGAAGTCACTGCTCAAATATTATCCTCAGCTAAAGACAAAGGAGGATTTTGGGGTGGGGGGTCAGTTACATGAGGTTGCCAGACAGTAAACAACTTAAGTTCTTGCCTTCCCCATTAAGAGTTTCCAGAGATAAGGCCATCCCCCCTTCCTCCTGGCACAGAGAGGGAGGCATGGAGATTTCCTTCACAAATGCAACTGTCTCTGATCAAAGGGCAAGCAAATTCCATTCCTAAGAGCCTGCTTCTCATCTGCAGTTTTAAAATTAACCAGCCTAAAATCCTCATCATTTTTAATGCTAAGATCTCTCCAGGAAGAGTTTGTTATCTTATTAAGATAAACTGCAGTGTATGTGGAAACATGCTTTCCAACTGAGCCAGCACAAGCAAATAACCACCTCTCCTTTTTGAATACTCATTCCCCATCTGAAATGTCCTTGCTTCCCTTAAAAAAAAAAAAAGAAATCTGGGAGGGACAAAGTCCGGGGCAGAGCAAAGCTTCCGAGTTCTGGCGTCGCAGCCAGCGTCGTCTTTCATCCGCTGCCTCCGCGTCTCCTGAGCCGGCCTTGGAGGCTTAGTTGCCTCACGTTTTCCTAAATTTGATCGATTCTTCTCCAAGTTGCAAGGATGACTGACGGTGTCTACAGTCCAGACGCTTCTTTGAAACTTGATGGTTGCCCATCACTGGTTAAAGGGAAGCCAGTGTAGGTTTCTGTCTTAAAGGAGCCTGGAGAGAAGGCCAATTGTTCTGCCCCCAGCTGAGGAATGACCGTACATCACGTTTTAGTTTGAGCTAAGCACGGTTTCTGGAGGACAGAGGAAATTTTTCCCTCTCAAGGACAGCCATAATCAAGCCCCAGGAGAAGTCCAATCATGTTAAAGGGAATTCTTTCCCTAAGGAAGAGCAGTGTAATTGGATAACCTTTTTCACTCAACTTATTAAAATTTGTGAGAAAACGTACATTACACTTTAGTAATTGTATCTTTATCCAGTTTAATAAGTCACTGTCTCCGGAATGAAGGATAAAATAGAAAATCACCTTGCCGATAGATGACCTCTGTAATTTTTGCTTTCGTAGCCTATATACGTAAGTATTCAATATATAACTGGTGATTTAAGAAAATCCCAAAGATTGGTTATTGAAAATAAAGACCCAACTCTGATCTTGTGCGCAGTAAGAGGTTAACTGTCTGTCAGTTTCAATTCAGTTTGACAAACAGAAATGGCAAGCAAGAGGATATTGGAGCATATGCGGAAGCCATTTTGTGTAAACCTAATTTGGCCTGACCTTGTCTTTCCAAAAGGGCCTGACCGAGGCCGAGGCCGTTGAGCATGCATTGTATATCTGCTTTAGATATTCACTACGGCAAGAACAAAGGTCCTTGAGATGAAGGTGCAACTTCCCTCCCCCTCCCAACGTTGGCATTTCCTTAAGGATTAAGCATCTTTCCTTAGGCTAGGAACTGAGCTCAGAATAAACTCTCCCAAATTTTCATTTATAGATTGGTTATGGGTTACTATCGTCAACAAGTTCTTGACTGTAATTGAATGAGGGCTTTTTGTGAGAAGCTACAGAGCTTAGAGAGAGACTTTTGTCATGTGGGTGACTAATGACTAATGGTCACCCTTTACTTCAGAGACAGGATGATCACAAGAAATTGAAGTTCACAAATAATCATGCTCACTTCTCCGTCTTACTTAAGCAGCCTTACACTGTTATAGGGGATGAAGGGATAGTGACAGTCCTGAGGAGGCCGAACTCTACCATGGAGTTCTTGAAAACTCTCGATATTATCTGCAACTTTTTCTCATAGCCCCCAAATAAGAGTTTACAATGGTACTAATATTTGTGTAGAGAGTTAGTTTCCAGAGCTTTTGTTTGATTTTCTTTTCTTTCTTTTTTTTTTTTTTTTTTTGAGGAAGATCAGCCCTGAACTAACTACTGCCAATCCTCCTCTTTTTGCCATGGAAGACAGGTCTTCAGCTAACATCCGTGCCCATCTTCCTCTACTTTATATGTGGGATGCCTGCCACAGCATGGCTTTTGCCAAGTGGTGCCATGTCCACACCCAGGATCCGAACCGGCAAACCCCGGGCCACCGAGAAGCAGAACGTGTGCACTTAACCACTGCACCACCGGGCTGGCCCCTTTTGTTTGATTTTCAACAAGCCTCCTAGGAAGTAGAGAAAAAAACTATTTTGTGAACAAATAAATCAGCTGGATTGACTTTTTAAGGTCCCCACAGCAAGCAGAAGCATAACTGGAGCTAGAGCAGGGTCAGTGTTTGTCAAACTTTTTTGCCCAATATCTATAGGAAGAAGTCACATGATTAACTGGCGTAAGATTCCACTTCTGGGAGAACCGAAACTGTGATTAAGTTCAGTCTCAGTTTGGTGACATGGTGCTTAGCATAAACAACTCCATTTTGAGCCTGTCGTCTTGTTTTTAACAGAAGCCAGCATGAAATTAAGATGCCCCATACATAAAACATTTTATATTATTTATTTATTTTCTAAGGAAGATTAGCCCTGACCTAACATCTGTGCCAATCTTGCTCCACTTTATATGTAGGTCGCCACCACAGCATACCTGACAAGTGATGTATGTCTGTGCCTGGGATCTGAACCCACAAACCTGGGTCACCAGAGCAAGGCATGCCTAACTTAACCACTATGCCACAGGACTGGCTCCCTATAAAACATTTTAAACTCACCCAATGAAAGGTATCTTTAAAAACCACAAATATATAAAATATATAAAAGAATAATAACCAATCTCTGGGATTTTCTTAAATCACCAGTTATATATTGAATACTTACATATATAGGCTACGAAAGCAAAAATTACAGAGGTCATCTATCGGCAAGGTGATTTTCTATTTTATCATTCATTCCGGAGACAGTGACTTATTAAACTGGATAAAGATACAATTACTAAAGTGTAATGTACGTTTTCTCACAGATTTTAATAAGTTGAGTGAAAAAGGTTATCCAATTACACTGCTCTTCCTTAGGGAAAGAATTCCCTTTAACATGATTGGACTTCTCTTGGGGCTTGATTATGGCTGTCCTTGAGAGGGAAAAATTTCCTCTGTCCTCCAGAAACCGTGCTTAGCTCAAACTAAAACGTGATGTACGGTCATTCCTCAGCTGGGGGCAGAACAATTGGCCTTCTCTCCAGGCTCCTTTAAGACAGAAACCTACACTGGCTTCCCTTTAACCAGTGATGGGCAACCATCAAGTTTCAAAGAAGCGTCTGGACTGCGGACACCGTCAGTCATCCTTGCAACTGAGAGAAGAATCGATCAAATTTAGGAAAACGTGAGGCAACTAAGCCTCCAAGGCCGGCTCAGGAGACGCGGAGGCAGCGGATGAAAGACAGCGCTGGCTGCGACGCCAGAACTCGGAAGCTTTGCTCTGCCCCGGACTTTGTCCCTCCCAGATTTCTGAGCTGGCGAGCAGTGGCTCCGCGCTGCAGCCCCAGCCAATTGCAGACGACCTAACCGAGGCCAGCCGGAAGGTGCGGTTTCGAGTTGTTTGTTGTTATAAAGGAGCCCTTCCTCGTTCTTGCTTTTTATTCCCTCCGGTATTTGAGTCAACATCTCCCAGAGGCAGGTTAGAGTGCTTGGTAAAAAGAAACAAAGCAAAAGCTCAAGCAGCGAAAAGGATGAAATTCTTGCTGGACCAGCTCCTGCTTCTGCCCTTACTGATCTTTTTCACCTTAGAGTCTTTCCTGAAGCTTTTTATTCCCAAGAAGAGGAAATCGGTCGCCGGAGAAATCGTCCTGATTACTGGAGCTGGACATGGACTTGGGAGACTGACTGCCTATGAATTTGCCAAACTTAAATGCAAACTGGTTCTATGGGATATAAATAAGGTAATAGTGCTTACCATGTTTTTTACTTTCTGGTACCTTTAATCTGTGGACACGTCTGCATTTTACAGGCAACAACCCCTTGCAACATCTCTGTAAATTAGGTAGAAAAAATTACTATTGCCATTTTATAGATGCGGGGAAACTGTGGATTAATTAATGTGTTTATGATCACATGAAAACGGACCTAGAGAGTATAAGATTTCCAGTTACTGCCTATCGCAAATTTGACATTATAAATTTATCCTTACTTTTGCCCTGAAAATAATTTGTAATCTCCCCCGAAACCTGATTTCACTGATTCCTCTAACTTAATCATATGGAAAAAGTAATCGTTTTAGCTAGTATATTAAAAGAGTAAGAGGTTTGTACTTATTAAAAAAAAAAAACCCTACTTGCAGTTCCTGAGATAAATGGGTTTAAAAGATTACACCCAACAGAAAGCAACATTACTCTGCCATAATAATTGCCAAGAGTAAATTTTCAAAATCATCTTTTAGTTAAAAACAATAAAAAAGAAAAAATCTTCAATGTAATGTTGTACTAGAAGGCGTAGCGTTAAGGAAGAGAGGATTTAGAATCTTACGTTTGATTTGGCCGGTGGTAGATGGACAAAGAGGTGTTCTGAGCCACCTGATGGCCTGAAACACCATCTGTACACAGGAGACAACATGCAATGCTGTAAAGAAGAGTTCAGGCTGTGCGACTCTAGATGAAGCTAACCCAGTGAGCAGGGCGATTGAAATAGCAATCAACAAATACTTATTGAGCACCTGCTGCCTAGATATTAAGAACACAGTGGCAAGCAGGAAATAGGGTCCTATTCCCTCAGTCTAGTAGGGAAAATAGACATTAAATAATTCCACATGCAATGTAAGGTACAAACTAGGCCCAGCCTCATCTGCTGTGGTCACAGTAGTGTCCCGCATGGGTGTGGTCAAACTCGGGGGAGCTCTCCACTTCCTCACGGATAACTATTCAACTTCATGGGAAACTTCCGAGAGCTTCGGTTCCTTTTCTGCAAAATGGATAAAATAACACCACTTACCTTTGAGGACTGGGAGGATTATACCAAATAATGCACGCAAAGCAGTTAGCACAGCGTCTGGCACTTGGTAAATACACGAGTGTTAGTATTATTCCTTCACAAAGTGAAGTTTAAGCCAATGTGTAAGGGTTACTTTACACAGCTAGGTGAATGATTCCCAATGCCCAGTGCTGGTTTGTACAAAGTTTTCTCTACTCTGGAGCAAAGTGCATTTATCCAACAAATATTGAGCACTTACTCTCTGCCAGGCACTGTTCCAAAGCAGAACTGAAGACACGGCGGTGAGGAAAACACGAACCTCGTGAGCTAGGGATGATCAACAAGACATGCTGAATTACATACATAAAATATGTAATTGTTGGCTGGTGATAAGTATCAGGAAGAAATAAAACATGGAAGGGGATAGGGACTCTGTATGGTGGGGAGGGTGGGGATGGGAGAAGGCTTCGATGAGATGAAGACAGTTGAGTCGAGATCAGAAGAGGCTGAGGCTACAGTGAGCCCTTCGCACAGCTCTGCAGAGAGAGATCAGCCATGCAAAGCCTGGCACAAAGTGAGGGAAGGGAGAGAAGTAAAAGAAAGGTCTAGATCTGTGCTGTCCAGTACAGTAGTTGCTAGTAGCGTAGCCACTTGTGGCTGTTGAGCATTTGAAATGTAGCTCATCTACATTGAGATGTGCTGTGGGTGTAAATACCCATGGGATTTCAAAGACTGATTATGTAAAAAAGAATGTAGAGCATCTTGTTAATAACTTTTGTATGGATTACATGTTGCAATGATAATATTTCAAAATAATATTTTGGATATATTAAGTTAAATCAAATATAATACTAAATTAATTTTTTTTAATGTGGCTACTAGAAACATTAAAATTACGTCTGTGACTTGCATTATATTTCTATGGAACAGCGCTGGTCTAGAGACTTAAGGAACAGAGACTCCAAATCGTAGTGTTCCTGTCGGCCGTGGTTTGTGCTTCAGCTTTTACTGGGGGATCCAGTGGAGGGTTTTGAGCCAGTTTCTACTGAAGAGTTTCCTCCTGCTGCTGGGTGGCGGGGAGACGAGTTAGACCATTGTGATAATCCAGGTGAGAGATGGTGCTGGTTTGTCAGACCAGGGTGGTAGTAGCGGAAGTGGTCAGAAAATGAAGGATAATGTAGTGAGTTTTCATTATGTTAAATTCGTTTAACTTAAATAATCCTTTCATTTTGAGATTATGTCCTTCCTACTTTTTTGTGGGTAAAATATGTATACTTTTAATGAAATTGCAATGATAGTTGTGTTAATTTTTTTTATTAAGATTATGATAGTTTACAACCTTGTGAGATTTCAGTTGTACATTATTGTTAGTCATGTTGTGGGTACACCACTTCACCCTTTGTGCCCTCCCCCCACTCCCCCCTTTTCCCTGGTAACCACCGATCAGTTCTCCTTGTCTATATGTTAACTTCCACCTATGAGTAGAGTCATATAGAGTTCGTCTTTCTCTGTCTGGCTTATTTCGCTTAACATAATATCCTCAAGGTCCATCCATGTTGATGCGAAAGGGACGATTTTGTCCTTTTTTATAGCTGAGTAGTATTCCATTGTGTATATATACCATATCTTCTTTATCCAATCATCAGTTGTTGGGCACTTAGGTTGGTTCCACGTCTTGGCTATTGTAAATAATGCTGCAATGAACATAGGGGTGCATGGGACTCTTGGAATTGCTGATTTCTGGTTCTTAGGATAGATACCCAGTAGTGGGATGGCTGGGTCATAAGGTATTTCTATTTTTAACTTTTTGAGAAATCTCCATACTGTTTTCCATAGTGGCTGCACCAGTTTGCATTCCCACCAACAGTGTATGAGGGTTCCTTTTTCTCCACAACCTCTCCAACATTTGTCACTCTTGGTTTTGGATATTTTTGCCAATCTAATCGGTGTAAGGTGATATCTTAGTGTAGTTTTGATTTGCATTTCCCTAATGATTAGTGACGATGAACATCTTTTCATGTGTCTATTGGCCATCCTTATATCTTCTTTGGAGAAATGTCTGTTCACATCCTCTGCCCATTTTTTGATCGGGTTGTTTGTTTTTTTGTTGTTGAGCTGTGTGAGTTCTTTGTATATTATGGAGATTAACCCTTTGTCGGATAACTAGCTTGTAAATATTTTTTCCCAATTATTGGGCTGTTTTTTTGTTTCAATCCTGTTTTCCCTTGCTTTGAAGAAGCTCTTTAGTCTGATGAAGTCCCATTTGTTTATTCTTTCTATTGTTTCCCTCATCTGAGGAGTTATGGTGTCCGAAAAGATTCTTTTGAAACTGCTGCCAAACAGTGTACTGCCTATGTTCTCTTCTAGAAGACTTATTGTTTCAGGCCTAATGTTTAGGTCTTTGATCCATTTTGAGTTTATTTTTGTGAATGGTGAAAAAGAATGGTCAATTTTCAGTCTTTTACATGTGGCTGTCCAGTTTTCCCAGCACCATTTGTTAAAGAGACTTTCTTTTCTCCATTGTAGGCCCTCAGCTCCTTTGTCGAAGATTAGCTGTCCATAGATGTGTGGTTTTATTTCTGGGCTTTCAATTCTGTTCCATTGATCTGTGCACCTGTTTTTGTACCAGTACCATGCTGTTTTGATTACTGTAGCTTTGTAGTATGTTTTGAAGTCAGGGATTGTGATGCCTCCGGCTTTGTTTTTCTTGCCCAGGATTGGTTTGGCAATTCTCGGTCTTTTGTTGCCCCATATGAATTTTAGGATTCTTTGTTCAATTTCTGTAAACAATGTCATTGGGATTCTGATTGGGATGGCGGTGAATCTGTAGATTGCTTTAGGTAGTATGGACATTTTAACTATGTTTATTCTTCCAATCCATGTGCATGAAATGTCTTTCCATCTCTTTATGTCATCGTCGATTTCTTTCAAGAAAGTCTTGTAGTTTTCATTGTATAAATCTTTCACTTCCTTGGTTAAATTTATCCCAAGGCATTTTATTCTTTTCATTGCAATAGTGAATGGGATTGCGTTCTTGAGTTCTTTTTCTGTTACTTTATTGTTAGTGTATAGAAATGCTACTGATTTATGTATGTTGATTTTATACCCTGCAACTTTACTGTAGCTGTTGATTGTTTCTAATAGTTTTCCTGTGGATTCTTTTGGGTTTTCTATATATAACATCATGTCGTCTGCAAACAGCGAGAGTTTTACTTCTTCATTGCCTATTCGAATTCCTTTTATTTCTTTTTCCTGCCGAATTGCTCTGGCCAACACCTCCAGTACTATGTTGAATAGGAGTGGTGAAAGTGGGCACCCTTGTCTTGTTCCTGTCCTCAGAGGGATGGCTTTCAGTTTTTGTCCGTTGAGTATGATGTTGGCTGTGGGTTTGTCATATGTGGCCTTTATTATGTTGAGGTACTTTCCTTCTATACCCATTTTATTGAGGGTTTTTATCATAAACGGATGTTGGATCTTGTCAAATGCTTTCTCTGCATCTATTGAGATGATCTTGTGGTTTTTGTTTCTCATTTTGTTAATGTAGTGTATCACATTGATTGACTTGCAGATGTTAAACCATCCCTGTGTCCCTGGCATAAATCCCACTTGATCATGGTGTATAATCTTTTTGATGTATTGCTGTATTCAGTTTGCCAGAATTTTGTTGAGGATTTTTGCATCTATGTTCATCAGTGATATCGGCCTGTAGTTCTCCTTCTTTGTGTTGTCCTTGTCAGGTTTGGGGATCAGAGTGATGTCGGCTTCATAGAATGTGTTAGGGAGTGCTCCATCTTCCTCAATATTCTGGAATAGTTTGAGAAGGATAGGTATTAAATCTTCTTTGAATGTTTGGTAGAATTCTCCAGAGAAGCCGTCTGGTCCTGGACTCTTATTTTGGGGGAGGTTTTTGATTACTGTTCCTGTTTCTTTACTTGTGATTGGTCTATTCAGATTCTCTATTTCTTCCTGATTCAGT